GGTTCTATCATTCTAGAATTTATTTTATTTTGTTGTTTTAAAAACACTTCAAATATTGTTATGGCCAATGGCTTCAATCATTTCAAGAGTAAACATTTATTCATTCATACCAGAAATTATACTGGCCTAAAACAATCAAGGTTTGCTTTTTATGGACCTGTAAGGGGAGAGCAAGAAATTATTCTACTGATGTTTCTAAATCCTCATCCTTCTGTTTAGATTACTAGTTGAGCATCTGCTGATTTTAATTCAATATTCCTAACTAAAAATATGTCTTATTTATTGGAACCACAGCATACCCTCCAACATTTCTCTGATGGAAATAGGGACATCCCATTCCATAATGATAATTTTACTATTTATACCCCACACATCTTACTGGGTTGCCCAGCCACTCTGGGCAGCTTCCAACATATATAAAAACACAATAAAACATTAAACATTTTTTAAAAAACCTTCCCTATACAGGATTGCCTTCAGACAGCTCGGGAGTCAAATAACTCCATACCCTCCAACATTTCTCCAAAGAAAATAAGGACATCCTACCATACCTTCTAATATTTTTTGCGATGAAAATAGGGATGTCCTAAGGAAAAAGCAGGATATTCCAGGATCAAATCAGAAACCAGGACGGCTTCTCTAAATCAGGGACATCCCTGGAAAATAGGGACACTGCGGTTTACAATCTTTTGTCTTCAAGCTGGTTTCTATCTTTCTCTTTCTGAGGCAGAAAGTTCCACAACTAGAGATTGGATTTGGATTTGAATTTTATATCCCGCTTTATCACTACCCAAAGGAGTCTCAAAGCAGCTAACATTCTCCTTTTCCTTCCTCCCCCACAACAAACACTCTGTGAGGTGAGTGGGGCTGAGAGACTTCAGAGAAGTGTGACTAGCCCAAGGTCACCCAGCAGCTGCATGTGGAGGAGCGGAGATGTGAACCCAGTTCCCCAGATTACGAGACTACCGCTTTTAACCACTACACCACACTTGCTGTTGGGTAGCTTGGAAATCCATCCAACAAAACAAAACAAAACATTTTTCGGATGATTCTGAACTAGTTCACTCATGTATGCACATTGCTGGAGTTTGCCTAGACTACATGAAAAGACTGACATCTGAAGGTATAGACTTACTATTGATAATGTCTGTTTGATGGGCCATTGGATAATATGACTGCTCCATCTCTGGTATTAGGTCTGTGATGGCTCATGGGCACATACATTGACAGTGCAGCCAGAAAGTGATGAATGCACAGAACACTGATGAACTAGTTTTCAGTAGAAATGTTGTGTTATATCCCCAAGTTCAGGTTAAACTGGCTGCCTGCATGTGCATAACTCTCTCTCTCTCTCTCTCTCTCTCTCTCTCTCACACACACACACACAAACACAGAACTTTGCTTAGATCCTATGAAAAAGTACATTTTTGTTTTGTATGTCTGTTCCTTAAAAAAACACCCCATTATGATAACATAGGTAAAGGGACCCCTGACCATTAGGTCCAGTCGCGGACGACTCTGGGGTTGTGGCGCTCATCTTGCTTTATTGTCCAAGGGAGCTGGTGTACAGCTTCTGGGTCATGTGGCCAGCATGCCTAAGCTGCTTCTGGTGAACCAGAGCAGCACACGGAAACATCGTTTACCTTCCCACCGGAGCGGTACCTATTTATCTACTTGCACTTTGACATGCTTTCGAACTGCTAGGTTGGCAGGAGCAGGGACCGAGCAACGAGAGCTCACCCCGTTGCGGGGATTCGAACCGCCGACCTTCTGACTGGCAAGTCCTAGGCTCTGTGGTTTAACCCACAGTGCCACCCGCGTCCCTTATGATAACATACAGCTCAGCATTTAGCACATCCACACATGCAACAGGCAATGTAAAACACAACAGTTCAATGTCCTGTAACTATATGCCTACGAACTCTATGGACATTGACTCCATAACTGTGGAGGCTGGTCCATTTATGGTCTGCCATCAGCTAGCCTTCTCCTGCCTCCCTTCCTACTTACAAACCAGTCCAGGGGCTGAAATTGCCTGTCACTTTCTTCCTTCTAAGTCTCAGTGTTGTACATGAAGGAGGGGGCAAAACTAGAATGACTTGGCTCTGCCTGCCACTAGCTCTGTCTCTGGCTCCCTCTGCCTTCCGTCCTACCATTGACAATGTGCACCAGCCACCATGGCATTTAAATGTGATCTAAATATGCAAATGGCCTTAAATATGGCCTTGTCTTAATAATAAATGTGCTCTACGGGTTTTCAATGGAAAAGACCTGTTTTGATGGTTCAGTGAAGATTGTAAACCTTTTTGGAAACAGACTGCTCTACTTTTGCGATCTGTATACACTCCACAGCACTGTAGGTAATTATGATGATCATAACAGGTCAACAAAAGCTGCATCAAGGGACCTTTTATATCCTGTTGCAAACCTCTGAGCCAGGTATGCCAGCACAAAGCAATAGACTGTGGTAGATCTACCTGCTCTAAATCTTGCTTGGCCTTCCATAATTACCTCTTTGGGTTCCACCCAGCCTATCAAATGATTACATGAATGGCATGCAAATATTTTAGATGCAAAATAAATAACGGCTTTTGGAATACTACCTAGAAGGATCAGAGCATTAACTATAGAGTTTTCTACACAGAGCTTTAAAGTTTGGCCAAACTTGAAGCCCACTGTTCCACATCATGCTGGAAAGAGAAATTCAACCAAGTTGTTGAGCTGGCGGAAGCCAACATAATGAGTCCCTCCAGTGCATTGGGACTTTCCCCTCTCTCCTCCCCAACACCCTCCCCAAGTCTGCTTGGGAGGGCTGGGAGATTGTTCCATCTGGCAAGCAGAAATGTTTGTGCTGATGGAGCAAACACCTTTGCACAAGACTGAATTCCACCCAAAATCTTCTCCCGTTGGCCTTGTTATTTCTTAGTCTTTAAATCAAGTGTTGACTTGACAAATGATCTCTCCTCCTGCTGTGCATCACCCAGATTTGTCCTAGAGATCCCCCCAGTCCTCCGGAGCAGATCTGGGTAGGGTAAATGGGGAGGAGAGGGGGGCAGAAATCCCATTGCACAAGCAGAAATCTTTGCAGTGATGGGACGTTGCACTTGAATATTCCAATTAGTTTTATACACATTTGCTGCATTAATCCTATAACAAGATCAAATATGTTTCATTTCAGAGTGTCTTCCTATGTTCCTAAGTTCTACTCAATGTCTAGTCAAAATCACATGTTTGTAATTCAATCCAATTATTTTAGGTCCCATCCTTTGAAGCAACATAAAATGAACCTGCTTTATCACAGCTCAGTTGGTAGAGCGTGAGACTCTTAATCTCAGGGCTGTGGATTTCAGCCCCACGTTGGGTGAAAGATTCCTGGATTGTAGGGGGTTGGACTCGATGATCCTTGTGGTCCTTCCAGCTCTATGATTCTGTAATCTCTGTGGCAGCCCTTCAATTATTTGAAGATGTCTATCGTGTCACTTTTTAATTACTTCTTCTCCAGGCTAAATATCCCCAGCTCCTTCAAACTTTTCTCAAGGGACTTTGGCGCTAAAACATTTAACAACAGTACAGAATAAATTGTGGCTTTCCAGTTGTAGTTTTTAATCTCTGGTGATTCCAGTCTCCATCTCTGATCATCTCTTTTGTCACTTGCTACACATAAAATATTTTGCTCATCTCCCAGAGACTACAAAACCCTCCAGGCTGTCAAGATAGCTGCAGAACTTGTGTATATTTTATAGAATTCATAATCAAAAGGCTGTCTATGGTGTTGCCAAAACCAACAGAAAGTCTGATAAGGCTTTCTACTGTCTAAGATACAATTATTTTACAAGATGAATTATTTTTATTACATAGTTATCACAGCCACTTTTTGTTATCAGGCAGTTTGTTGTGACAAAAGAATTGAACGGATCTTTCTACGGTTCAGTGTTGTGAAGTGCTCAAAGTGCTATCTCACAGGAAGCTGGCTGTACATTGCAAATCCATGAAAAAAAATAACCCATCATGTCCTATTTAAAGATGTTTATGCACAATCAATTAGTAGCACCGGCCCTGAAAAAAATGAGTCAAGCATCGTTAGTCATACAGCTGACAAAAACGGGTAAAAGCATCTCCTTATATGTCCATATAGCTTTTTCTTACTTGGAAGCTTTCCACAAGAAATTACTAGGACTCACTTCAAATGTCTAGAATCACCCTGGATGGGGGGCATCTTGGTTACTGACTCAACATTCCCAGTGAATTTCCCATTGGACTCTTATCAATACATCAGCGGTATTAGTTTTGTTTGGCGCTATAAATAATAGACCAAGATGATAGTGACTTGAGATCAGATGACACCCCCACCGTCCCACCATCACCACTATCATTTGTAACAAGCAGCCATGGGGAGGGGCAGATGACAGAATCAGAAACTGGAACTGAAATCCCCAGTGTTCTCTTATTTGTCCCATTTCCAGAACAGAAACAAATCTACTGAATATAAATGAATACTGTGGTCCCAATCCAAATCGAACAAAAATGTTGTGAGACAGGAGACCCAAAACCAGGTCTCCATTATCTGCACCTCTGGCCCTGAATCTTTCTTTTAAAAAAACGAAAAAGAGTTAAATCAATTCGTCACTTCTTAGAAGGTAGAGAGCAGTAACAGAAGCAGAAGGTAGCTCAGTAACAGAAAAAAACATTGAACGCACCAGGTTTCACAAGTCTTAACAAGACTCCCTTAAAACCCTGCAGATGTTTCCCCTAAGGAGGAAGACCAATTTCCCATTGATTTTCAGTGAAACTTTAGCTAAAGGAATCTCAGTAAGCCGAAAAGAACTTCTGTTTGAAACCCTTTGGAAAACTGTTGGTAGCAGTGGTCTAGAAGGATTAGAATCATGATTCAGTAGAAAGTAGCTCTTTCTCCATTCATTCATTCATTCATTCATTCATTCATTTATCTTTTGGTCCATCCATCCCTTTATTATGAGTGTTTTTTATCATTTGATGCTTACCTCCTGTTAGCATAAGGGCACATTTGCACATGCAGTTGTCATTGTCAGCATCTTTGGTACTGAAGTCAGCTCCGTGCAATATCAAGCTGCTCTGTTTTCCTGCGGTTCCTGAATGACCCTTTAGATACAGCCTACAAAGAGACAGGAGAGGTTCTTCATGTTAGCCAATACAGCCACACAACGAACCACACTTGATTTGGAATTCTGTGGTGGTGACAAGTCAGGAAGATTCCCGAAATCCTGAAAATGCTGCGGGTCAGTGGAATCATATTTCAGCCATATCATTATGACTTAACTCATTTGTGATTTCCCTACTAGGACTGGATCTAGACACATCAAAGAAGCATTTCAGTTTAAAGAGTTGTAAATTTAAACAGGGAAAACAGGTAGAGGAAAACGGGACTCCATGTCGCCATCCGGTGGCACAATGTTATATCACACATACAACACATATAAATGACTTTTTCTTTACCAGTCTAGCTGAGTCCTAGAACTCATGGACATACAATGAAGGTGAAGGTCAGAAGATTCAGGAGAGACCAAAGAAAGGAATTTTTCACACAGTGTGCAGTTAAACTATGGAATTGGTTCCCACAGAAGGTAGTGATGGCCATCAACTTAGGTGGTTTTAACAGAGGATTAAACAAGTCCCAGCAAAGGAAGAATGGATACGAAAACTTGTGGAATATGCAGAAATGGCGGAACTTACTGGAAGAATAAGAAACCAAGGTAACAAACTTTTTATAAAAGAACAGAAAGGGTTTATCGAATATTTACAGATAAATTGTAAACAGATAAAAACACAGGCAGGGTTGTTGTAATAACCCGCAGCTACATAAGAGTATATATTTAAAGAAGATAAATAAATATGTTAAGTTAATTTGGATATGCAGAAGATATTAAAAATAAAGTTAAGGGAACCTGCAGAAAGAGAGGGAAGGAAGTCAGGTTCTAAAATGTTAGAATGATTGTAAGATCAGTGAAATGTATATATCTGGAAAGTATAAATGAAATGTTAAAAAAGTAAAAAAAAAAAGGATTCACAAGTTCATGGAGGATCAATGGCTGTGATCTGTGATGGATTTGTTCTACCTGGATGGCCATCGGTCATGAATGCTTTATATGAGATTCTGACATTGCAAGGGGTTGGGTTGGACTAGATTACCATTGAGTCCCTTCCAACTCTATGATTCTATAATTCTACCTCCACTGGTGATGTCAGTGTGCTCCTCAACTCAGTAGCTGGGAATCACAATTTGAAAGACTGCTAAGCGCTCAGGTCCTGCTTACAGACTTTCCAGAAGCTTCTATCTGGTTGGCCGCTGTTAGAACAGGATACTGGATTAGGTGGGCCATTGGCCAGATCCAGGAGGGCTTTTATTGTGTTCTTATATGATTGCACTGTCAGCTACACAATGCCCATTCCCAACTAGGAGAACGCTGCTGCACAATCCCTTTACACACAGCCAGAATTGGACCAGTAAGGGGAGAATTAAGGGCACTACATTGGAAAGAATGCAGCCAATCAAAATGGCAAGATAAATCCAATGTAGGGGAAGTTCCAAATGCAGGGCTAAGATAAAGTATCTTGGAAAAAGTCAGAGAAAGGCTGGGACATAAAAACAGTCATGCTTTATGAGGCACAGTTGAAATGCAGTGCCAATTAGATATTGTTTTCTAAAGCAATACACAGGCTACGTTTTGGAGCAATAAGTATTCTGCTGGTCCTTATGCTTTTTTTGTTGTTGCTTGAATATAAACAAACTAAATTGAGATTAAAGCCTTCTAGATTTACTGAACTTGGACTCTCATGGCTTATTTTGGTAAATGATCTTACTTTTTTTTCCCCCCTAGAGGAAAATAAACTCCTTCAGAATAGTGCTGATAGAAAAACGACTCCGGAACATGGTATCTACAAGCTTATTTTAAACTGTCACAGATCGTCAGTACATCACCCCCCTGCCAAGCTCACAGAAGCAAATGTCAGCAGAAATAGTGGAACCTGGCTTTTTGACACCATTTAAAGAACTCTGGCTAAATCCCATCATGAAGCCAATAGCCGAAAGTGCTAAAAAAAGAGCCAGGGGTTTCTTAAACTGGATGTATAGAAACTCCATGAGAATTTTTGCTCAACTTAAATCCAAACTGGTCATGGCATAATCAGCACATGAACAAATAATCTTGTCATGTTTATAGCATTGAAATGTGGTTTCCTTGTAGGTCATTGCTGTTGTTTTGCTATGTCATTATGAAAGTGTTTTTGAACTGTTTGTTTGAAACGCAGTCTTGTTTCGTTTGTTGTAAGCTGCTTTCAGCATAATTTTATTTTGTGGGAAATCGGCATACAAGGAGCATGAATGGAAATGAATGAAAAAAGAACACAGAAGGTCCCATATTCACTACCCATGTAGTGAATGGACCTGGGAGACCAGAGTTCGAATCCCCACTCGGCCATGTGTTGGGGCATGTGCAGAGTGCCCATTCAACACACCAGCAGATTGTGCAAATGGCAAAAACCCAGGATATGGTCGTCAAAGAAAAAACCCAGACAGTTTGGGTAGGGTCAGTTCCTTCACTGACAGGCAGTCCAAAATATAATGCTGTTCCTCAGCTTAGCAGTAACATACTGTACAGCTGTAGTATAAAGTAACCCTACCTCAGTCTGTCCCAACAGACTGAGGTAGTTTACAGCAAAATTAATAAAATGTATTTCCAGCAAAATGTCCTCCTTGTGACGTTCTAACACAGAATTGGTTCTAGCCAAGGGGTGGGGAATCCAGTGGAACGTGCTACAAACACAAGGATATTTATATTTTAGATTGTGCTGAGTCACTCTCTGACTCACAAGTTTACTGACTCACACTTAACCAGCTGCAGGTAAAGGACAATCACACCTAAAGTAACCCTTTCTTGTCCTTTTTCTCTGCATGCATAAACTCTTATACACACAGAGTGTCTTTCATAGTTTTTATAGGAGGGGAAAGGGGACTAATTAAAGGGTCAAACGACACCATTAAGTTCACTTGGTGACTTTGGGCCAGTCATTGCTTCTCAACTTAACATTTCTCACTGGTTTGCCAGTACCAGAGCTCAAAGAAAGGCAATCTTTGCCCTGCCATTTTAGATTAGCAGTATGTGCTACTTCAGTATCTGCACAGAGAAAGACTTTGCAATTGGTCGGTCAAGACTGATTGGTAAGGAAGCTTCTAAAAATCCCCCCAACTGAACTTTGAATTAATTAATAATGTTGAATATTGTAGACTAGGCTTAGACAACCTAGTCCCTACCAGATGTTTTAGATTACCACACCCATCATCCCTGAGCATTAGCTATGCTGGCTGGTGCTAATGAGAGTTCTAGTACCAAACACCTACAGAGTACCACGTTGTTCTACAAGATTATGATGAAAAAGCATAAAATATCTGTGAAGCAACTGACTAAGAAATCAGACTGGGCACTGTAAAGTTTCTTTGACTGAGGAGGAGGTAAATGAAAAAGTAAAGGGCCCCTGGATGGTTAAGTCCAGTCAAAGGCAACTATGGGGTGTGGCACTCATCTCGCTTCAGGCCGAGGGTGCTGGCGTTTGTCTGCAGACAGCTTTCCAGGTCATGTAGCCAGCATGACTAAACTGCTTCTGGTGCAACGGGACACCGTGACGGAAACCAGAGCACACCGTTTACCTTCCCGCCACAACAGTACCTATTTATCTACTTGTGCTGGTGGGCTTTCGAACTGCTAGGTTGGCAAAAGCTGGGACAGAGCAATAGGAGCTCACTCCATCTTGGGGATTCGAACCGCCGACTTTCCAATCAGCAAGCCCAAGAGGCTCAGTGGTTTAGACCACAGTGCCACCCGCTGTGGGATTGAGCACCACCTTATTCCCCCATAATGATAGATGAGTCATTCATTGGGGTATCTGGTGATAAAACTATCTGTTGATAAAATTCATATAATAATTTTTGCATGTAGGGGAAAGTTAACTATACAGTGGTACCTTGGGTTAAGAACTTAATTCTTTCCAGAGGCCTGTTCTTAACCTGAAATGGTTCTTAACCCTAAACGTGCTTTTGCTAATGGGGCCTTCTGCTGCCGCTGCGCCGTTGGCACACAATTTCTGTTCTTATCCTGGGGCAAAGTTCTTAACTTGGAGCAACCACTTCCTGGTTAGCGGAGTTTGTAACCCAAAGTGTCTTTAACCCAAAGCATCTGTAACCTGATGTATCACTGTAAAGGAAAAAAAAAACCTGATTACCGAAAGAGGAGAATGGACTAAATTCTTTCCTTGATCTCTCCCACAGCTGTCTATATTTATGACATTCTTCCAGTCTAATAGCATAATTGTGTTTTACCAGAAGTTCTCTTCGGGCCTTTGCAATTTTGAGTTTTGATTTCTCTAGTGTTAATGGCTTAACATATCTTTCACATCATGCTACAGAGATGGTCTCCAGTACAGATGGAAGGGAGATTGTGGTTGACAGGAGACTGCGCAGTGAGACACAGCTAAATGAGTATCTGTAACAGAACACACATGGAACTGGATTCTAAGTGAGAAACAGAAAGAGAGGGCAATTCACATGTGGAGAAAAGATTGCCGCAGTCGGGGCTTTTTAGTTTAGGCAAAAGGCGAGTAAGGGGATTGTTATGTACTGTGTTGGATAGGATCCAAAATGCAGCAGTCTGATTAGTCCTAGAACAATAGGATTCAGAATGCAGCAGTCTGATTGGTCCACAGGAGCCACCCAATCCAGCTCCAGGTGGAAGTGAATCCGCAACCTGATTGGCCTACAGGCGAATCCCAGAATTAGCCAATCACGTGGGGCCCATTGTGTAAACAATGTATATAAAGCAGACATCCTGGGAGAACTTCCATTCCTCCTCACCACTATGAGCTGAATAAAGAACATGAAATCCACTCTTCAGTGGATTTCAGAGATGATTATGCAAGGTACAGAGAAAGTGGACTCGTTGACATCAAATACAGATGAATACTGGAAGATTCACCAAGAGCACTATTGCTCCAATTCTATAGGCAGGTGATCACCAAAGGTGGACAAACTGCCTTGTCAAATGCCAGCAGAGTAACAGTGAACGGAGCCTGCAATTTGTCTCTGTGCCATCTTTAGGAATTTTC